CAGTGCGGCCCCGCCCCCGCCTCCCCACCACCTTCACCACCTCCACGCTCGGGCACCGCCCCCTCCCGCCAATCGGACCGCTCCAGCCACGCCCCCCGGGCGCTAGCCCACAGCCAATGAGCAACTAGAGCCCGGCTGGGAGCTGCACCGGCCAATCAGAGAGGCCGAAGACGCCTTGAATCTCTGGGCAAGTTAAGTTTGTCTCCGAGGCTCCGAACTGAAGGGAGATGGCGGGTTAGTTAGGTAGTGGGGTGGGTGGGAATACAGTGTGCTGCTCCACCAATAGGAGGAAGAGGGTGTGTCATATGCAAATAACCCCGTGAAGTCCAGCCCCTCCCCTAAGACAAGGCACAGCCCCTGCTCTAGGTCTCTGCAGAAATGGTGAGGGAATGAGATAAATAACTGGGAGCTAGAGCTCGCTAGTGGGTCTAAGACTGAGCTAAATATTTCCTGATTTCTTGAGAAAGAGGATGGGGGTGGGGGGAGCTAAAACGTCCTTACCGTCAGGGCAGTGGTTAGGCTTTCTCTTAACCAAAATCTTAGCTGTAAAGAAGACTGCAATCACGTAGCACTTTGCATCCAAGGATCTCAAAGAACTTTATGCATCATTTATCGTGAGCCCTGTTTTGCAAAAGACCAGTTACCTGAGGCTTCGGCAGCGGGTAGGGGATAGATGTTTAAGTATATTTGCACCAATAATCGAGTTAGAGGGAAGAAAAGACACAAAACCTGTGGGTGAGTGGTTTCCTCCTCCATCTAAAGCCCCTTCTCGCAGTCTCTCAGCAACGAAAATTCCTTTATTTGTCCAACACGAAAAGGCCAAAGAGACAGGGTTGTCTTCCACCCAAAAGTCCTTCTGAGGTAGCTGGTTAGATAAACGCAGAGCATGGAGCTCTGCCTGGGAGCGAAGGTTCAGAGAACAAATTGCCATTTAAAACTGTTGGGCTGGACCTGCCTCTTCCGAAGCTAAAAATGGATTTAGGATTTTGGCGTTCACGCTCAGGGGAGAGAAGGCAGATGTAATTGGGGAAAGCTCAGGCTGGCAGGGTGTGGGGGACAGGCGAGTGGGGGAGCGAGGTCTCCCGAGGAGCTAGCAGCGCGCATGCTAGTCGAATGCTGGTTCCCGACGACGCGAGACGCCCCGAAACCTGCTCCCCAGTGAGAACAAAGGCAGGCTCCGAGCGAGAACCTGATTGGTGCCCGGTCCTCACCGGTGTCCTCCGGACCCCGGAGATAACTTGCTCTGCCCACTGGCGCGGAGCTCCGTGCGCACTGGCGCCCCAGCTCCCCACCCGGCCTTGGCCGGGACCACATAGGACTGTGCGTTATGACATCACCTGTTTTCGCTGTTGAGAACACGATCGGTATTCTCTGCTTCTCTTTTTTTTAAAGGTCTCTGGTGTACGAGGATTTGTGAAGGCCTGCAGTTGGCAGAATGAATCTGTGGAGATGGTTTAAAAGAACGGTTTCACTGGTTTGCATTTCTTTCTTTTCTTCCCTTTCTTTTTAAAAAACTACCCTGGTTTCCTTAGGGATTCAGTGTAGTGTTGTGATGCAAAATCAGAAAGGTACACTTGGAAGAGCTAGCAAGTTTAGCATATCAAAGCTATTAGACCAAATTGTGTGGTTAAAACTGCCAATCTCCTCATTTTTCGACAGCTGCCTCCTCTCTGTCCCTTTTAGAGACCAACAGGCATAAACCAAGTCTACACAAGGAACAAAGGAAATGGAAATCTGCCAGTGTCAGGTTTAAATAGATTAAAATAGACTGGAAAACCCCCAAAGGGTCTAAGTTATGTGGTTGGGTAAATGTGTTGATCCATTTAACTAGTGATAGCTAAAGTTCTCTTGGTGCTGTGCAGATTTATAGAGCCTAGAATAGCAATGGCATGGGGAAGGTGTATAACATGCAGTTAGAAGAAACTGTAAAAGCAAGAAGATTCAGCAAAGGGAGAAATTACTACGTACACTTCAACGCAGAGAACCAAGAAATCCAGGGAGAAACGAAGTCTCAGTTGTCCTAAGAACTGAAACACATAGGTGTCCCCATTTAATGGTAAATATCTTGAGTTATGTTCCTGGCTTGTAAAGCAGATTTTATGTGAATACATTTTAAAGGAAAGGAGAAATTGAAGGATGAAGTGAATTTTTGTGCAGAGACTGAGTTTTCTCAAACAGTATTTTAACTTCAAATTATTTTCTATCATATACTTTTTATATCCTTTCCTTCTATTTAATAGCTAAAATTCTTTCACAGTGCAGTCCTTTAAGTTCTTCCATAACTAAATCTCTCAAGAGGGAGGCCAAGAGAGGCCAGCCCTATACAGTTATACCGTCTAACAAAAATTGCTAAAAGGAGGTTTTAGAGGAATCTCTTCATTGATCTATGGTCATATACATGTATGTGACCAAATGATGGCCCTCTCCACCAAATCCTCCAAACTGTTGTAACATTGTCTATACTGTCATTTATTTGGCAGTCAACCATGTACTGCACTGTAACATTTCTTCTATTGAACCACGGTATATGTGTCTGTGTCCCACCCCTGAAATCTCCAATCCAGTAACTCATTCTCAATACACAATGACCACTCTTTCTTCTGGTTCTCACACCCTCAGTCCCATCATCCTTCTTCTCCCCTCTCACGGTAATGTTCAACTTCTGGACACTTCCTTTCTCTTCCATTCCTCACCTGACCTTCCTTTCTTTCCCAGCTAGCCTGGATACCAGAAGGAGACTGTAACTTAAAGAATAAGTGACTTGCAAATCCTGGATCACATTGTTAGTTAAGAGGGAAGGAAACAAAAGCCCATTCTTTGAACTTTGTACAGAGCAAGGAAAAACTCCGCCCCTTTTGTTGTCTGGTTGATCTAAAACAAGAAAGAACTTTAGGAAAGTAAGATCTGGGTGAAAATTAACAACCAATGTGGAGCACTACTTCTTAATTTTTTAATTACAAAATGAGAATGACACTTCACGAAACATTTCACATCATTTAAAAATAGTTTTTGCTTGTTTTGAACTATTTTTTTTCAATGTGACTTTTTTTTCCTAGTTGTGCATAAAATCACATGGCTTGGATGTACCGTAAATTATTTAACCATTACTCCACTATGGAACATGTAGGTTGTTTCCAGCTTCTCATGATTATAAATAATAATGCTCTGATAAGCTTCCTCATATATAAGTTTCGGGCAGCATCTTTTATTCCTAGATATGGAATTTCTAACCTAAATGATATGAATATGTTTTAAGGCTTTTGATGCAATTTGCTAAAAGATTTTGTGGAAAGGTTTAACCAATTTGCAACCAACTCACAGTGAATAAGAGCACAGGGGAGAGAATCATTTGAAAGCACAAATCTGATCTGTCATCCTCCTATAGAAGGCCAGTCAATAGTCCACTTAACTCTACTTCGAATGCCCTCCATCTCTTTCTCTTTGAAAGATCTCCCGGTAGAAATAAGCACTTGCCAAAGCATCCAAAGTGCTTTCCTGTAGCTCTTCCTTAGCATCAAGCTCAATACTGAAATGATTGGTTCAAATTCTATGTTCTCATTAGACTGGTGAACCCCTGAAGGGCAGGGATGGACTCCATTCACTTATCCACTCCCAACTCCTAGCTCAACCAACTTGAAGAGAAGTGCTTAAAAAATCTTGGAGAAAATAAGGAGTTTTCACTCTGACTTTCCTCAGTACACCATAAGTTCTTCTAGAACATCTCTTTTGAATCTCTAATAACAGCTACAGGAACTTATAAAAGGATCCCAGTACATATTTGTGAATTGAATGGCTCAAAACAACTATTTGGCAAAGCAGAGAGATTGGATTCGTGTCCTTATCTGTCACCAATTCCTTCTCTGACATTGTACATAATGATCATAACCGGGACTTGCTATCTCTTTTATAAAATGAAACTTCCTACCACAAACCAAGGGTGTAGGGAGGGAGGGCTGAGGCACATTTTTATGCTCGGTGCTTTCGAAAGAAGATACCCTGTTAGTAACGTGCTGTGACTTTTGGACTTGAAACTGTTTATTTCTCTAGATATTCTCATTCTACTGACCTAAGAACAGGCCCCTTTATAGTTCCTAAATAAGGATTCGATTGAAAAAAATCAATTACTAAAGATATTTTTTAAATTCCATTTCTTGAGACAATAGGTCATTTTCTAACGTTTTGCCTCCTCAGACTTCTTTTTCTTTCCCCTGGGAGCACCCAAAGCCTTTGGATTTCAGGGAAAGTACTGCATTATTTACAAATTTGCAAATATTGTAATTTGTTTTGTGCACAAAGGAATTTCTACTTCACACAATTATAAATTGATTGCTCCCTTTGAGCTGTTAATTAGATTCCTGCGGTCCAAGACCAATACTACTCCAAAGGAGAAATTATGAGGATCTGATCCAAAAAGGCCACTGCTTGAGTGCCCATTCCCATCCCACCCCCTCCATCGCCCACCTCCACTGAGAAAATTATTCTTACTAAAGCTCATTTTTCAAAGAACAAATATTCCACCAACATCCAAACTTTTGTCGGCTTTCTCTTCTAACTTCCTATTTCAGAGTTTCCTGCATTTAACCCCATGTAAAGCAGACTGCAAAGGCGAGCGAGGCCCTCAGACGTGGGTTTGTTGATATTTGTTTGGCCTGCAAGATGTTAGCCAGCACAGTGCTTTTTAAACATTGAATTACTTTAAGTATTTATAATTTAGGATATTTTGCCCCCCACCCCCAACTCTAGATTTCTGGCGTCTCTTGAAAATTTGTCAGATCTGATCACACTGGACTCATATTGCCACATGGCAACCATTTGCTGGAACCCAGTACCTGCTATTTGGGTTTGGATATGCACTTTCTAGTTTACCAACATCTCTGTCACTCTTTGGGGTTCTATTTTGCCACTTTATTTACATTATCTTCTTGATCCTTGTAAGGATTCGCCACCTCTATAAACTTTCTCCAGCACCTAAATACCTAAATTACTGATCTGCTGACTGTCCCTCTTAACTTTATTATAGAATATGAATTGAAAAGAAACGTCATCTCTTGGCTATAGCAAACGTTGAGGAAAGGGGTCAGATGTAAAGATTATCATGATATGTAAATCAACTATACTTCAATAAAAAAATACATTTAAAAAAGGAATATCATGACAGATAGCTAGGTACCCTGACACGTGTGTGTGTGTGTGTGTGTGTGTGTGTGTGTGTGCGTGTGTGTGTACAAAATGGGAAGGACAGTTGTCTAAGAAGGGACTATTATGTCCTTTACACTCTTCACCCCACTCCTTATTCTAAGTCTGCCCACATCCCCATTCTAATTGTAGCTTTAGGAGAAAGGGACCAAGGGGAATGTGGCAACAGTAGAAGGACCATGAGAGTGTTTCTTCCTAGTCAGGTATGGATTTGAGCACTGACTTTGCCCCTTACTAGATATATGGCCTTGGGCAAGTTACTTACTGTCTTTAGGCTTCAGTTTCCTCATCTATAAGACTGAGTAATAATGCTACCTCCTCAAAGAGTGATTGTGAAGATTGAATGAGATTAATGCACTGTAGTGTTCAGCAAAGTGACTAGAACATTGCAAGCCCTCAGAAAATGTTTGCTGCTAGCTGCCACAATACAAAGGATGTTATGTTCTCTACATACTGTGTGACCTTGGTCTAGTTACTTAACTGTTCTATGTCTTGATTTTTGTCATCTGAAAAGAGGATATTGATATTAGCTTAGTCATAGAGTTGTTTTGAAGATTAAATGAGCTATATGTAAAGCACTGTAAAACAATGCCTCGCATATAAGAAATGCTATATAAATATTTACTATTATTATATACAGTGGTCAGGAGATCTTTTTTATTTGTTTCTTTTTTTTCTGGGAAGATCTTTGATTTTCAAGGTACTTCTTAAAAGGTAATGTAGGGTAGTAGAAATAGCAATGGATAGAAAGTCAGAGGATCCAGGGTTTAGTTCAGTAGTGCTGTAAACGATGTGATTTTGGGTCTCAGTTCTCTTATCTATTAAATGTGGAAGGGTGATTAAGTAGGGTCAGGGCCAAATCCAGATTGTAGGAAAATTGAAGCTTATATAATGTGGGGACCTTACTTAATAAAAGAATATAAAACTATGGATGCAAAATTATTTATGAAAGCAAATACTTATTTAAAATCATCAATAGAATCAATAAACTTTAAAAAGTTGAAAATACTATAAACATCACAAAATCCAAATAAATAACAAATCTCTATTAATTAACTACCTGACACAACCCTGTATTACTTTTTTCCCTACATATTTTAGGGAGTATATTTTGATTTCCTCTTCATATGACAACGATTTTTGAAATGTTATCTTCTATGGAGAAAATAGAAAGGTAATTCAATTTTTTTCTCTAGTCTAGTGCCCTAGGATAGTTAGGCATCACGAAACGTCCTCCAACCTACATCTTTGGGATCTGATGCATGTGAATTGGCCCGG